AGTTGGCGGGCGCCGGGAGATGGCGCGGGAGCCGGGAGCGCCGAATCCAGCGATCGCCAGCCCGCTCCCGGCCGGGCCCGCCGGGTACACGCCGCTGGCCACGCGCCCCGGCACCCGGAAAGCAGGGCGCTCTTCTGCCGTTCTGCCTCCTCATCATGCCTCGGCGTCCCGTGTGGGCCTGGAGCCAGCCGCTGGCAGTGCACGGAAGGCTGCGGTCACACCACACCATAACCCTTGGTTTCTGTATCTGATGCAAAGTGCTGGGAAACCGGGGAGAAAGAAAAGTGAAGAGTGAATTAAGTCATGTCTTGAAATATTGTAGTTTTACTATTTTGGGTCTGAGATGACTGTTTTATTAAGTGAATAAAAAAACTTACAATGCTTCAGCAAAGAGTAAATTTTTTATTTTAATTGTAAATTTTGGTAAGGGAGGCTTTTGCCTTCTAGGGAATAAGCATATTGAGCCAGCACCAACCAGACAGCTGTAAGCTCCTGGCCTGCTAACTGAACGCAGTAGAGGGCTTGGGAAGAGGCTAAATTAGGAACCAAAGTAACCGAGTGACAGGGTTCTAGCAATGATTCCGGTTAGAAGGCAAACCGGGCCGGGCGCGGTGGCTCACGCCTGTAATCCCAGCACTTTGGGAGGCCGAGGCGGGTGGATCACGAGGTCAAGAAATCGAGACTATCCTGGTCAACATGGTGAAACCCTGTCTCTACTAAAAATACAAAAAATTAGCTGGGCATGGTGGCGCGTGCCTGTAATCCCAGCTACTCAGGAGGCTGAGGCAAGAGAATTGCCTGAACCCAGGAGGCGGAGGTTGCGGTGAGCCGAGATCGCGCAATTGCACTCCAGCCTGGGTAACGAGCGAAACTCCGTCTAAAAAAAAAAAAAAGAAGGCAAACCGGTGATGCAGAGGCGCCAGGGAGTTCTGCACTTCTTCCACAAGACGGGTCACTGCCTTCTAGTGCTTATAGAGACGTAAGAAATAAATGGATTCCACACTCAAGTTGACCCTGTCTCCAGTGTACACCAGAACCAAGAAAGATACAGCTGTCATTCCTCCCAAGGCAAATTCGGGGACTAGAAGATTTTGCCTTTAGTGTAACAACCAACATTCCTCTTATTTCAGGAACTCCACTTACTAGATACTTACCAGACCTGCTCTTTAAAAGTCTCTGTATTGGCCGGGTGCGGTGGCTCACACCTGTAATCCCAACACTTTGAGAGGCCGAGGAAGTCGGATCACGAGATCAGGAGTTCAAGACCAGCCTGGCTAACATGGTGAACCCCGTCTCTACAAAAATTAGTTGGGCAGAGTGGCGCGTTCCTGTAATTCCAGCTACTCAGGAGGCTGAGGAAGGAGAATTGCTTGAACCAGGACGGGGAAGCAGAGGTTGCAGTGAGCCGACCGAGATCATGCCACTGCACTCCAGCCTGGGCTACAGAGCAAGACTCTGTCTCAAAAAAAAAAAAAAAAAAGTCTCTATATTAATCATTGACTTCTTAATATGACCTTAATATGTAAGGTCCTGCCAGTTCTCCCCACTATGAGCTTGTGGAGCCTTATCTTTTACTGTGAAATGACCATTGAAGTCTCAGGAAGTAAGCAATGTCTTCAAGATCAGCAAGTGAGAATGGTCAAATCTGCAACCTGGGCTTTCCATTTTGATGTACTTGTGTTCCATACTGTAGTTCATATTTGCTTTTAAAAAAAAAATAGTAATAGGCTTTCCAATCGAGTTTTCTGCTGACGGGAAGACAGAGGTGGAAGCTAAGGGGATAAAAGTTGATTTAATCACATTGCTTCAGAGTAACTTCTTTAAAATAGGTGAAGAAGTTAATATTAGGGTAGGATTTCGTTTGCAAAGTATATTAATTCTTTCAGCAAATACCTACTGAGACAATATTGTATGTCAGGCACTGTGCTAAGTGCTGGATGTTGTCTTAGGCTGGACTCCATAAGAAACAGACCTGGAGGTTAGGATTTAAGTATAAGTGTTTTTGCATTGTGGAAGTGATCCCAGAAAGCACTACAAGGAAGTAAGACGGCAAGACAGAGAAAATAAAAGCAGACATCTATATAGGATGTGTTAATAAGCAGGTTACCACTGTGGGCAAGGGAAACTCAATCCCCCGGTGGAGGGACGATGGGCAGCAGGATGTAGAGGAAGGGGCTGTACTTTGGACCTGCCACTAAGGCAGTAGGCAGAAATCCCTGCCAGTACCCCAACTGCTGCTGCCACTGGACTTCCCTGGTAACCTCTACAAACCCTGTCCCTTCTGCCTGTTACTTAAAGCTTAATTTCAATTAGTTACTTAAAGCTTAATTTCAATTATCCTTGTTCTCAATCTTTGTCTTTACAATGTTTAGTTGACTCTACCCTTTGCAGCCTTCCATCCACATTTCAAATGCCTTCTCAATTCATGACAACTACTGTTAGTTTACTCCCTCTTATAGGTAACTAGTCAGAGCAGCCTTTGAGCCTAAATGGAAGTCTTCTGCTGAAATGAATGGATTGGACTTCCTCTAAGGAAGGGATGCTATAGGAATCCTCCCAGTGGGACATTTGCTTTGACTTGTTTTTTCAGCAGTGGAGATTTAGTTTTAACCACATTTCACTCTTGACTCACTGGGGACAAGAGTGACATTTGCAGAATGGCTAGTCAGAGTTAGGGGTGCTATCAGGTCAGCCCCTGACATTGGTAGGTTTGGGCAAGAGACAAATGCATAGCCACTACCGTATGCCTAATATTTCAAAGTTATTAATCAAGCTAGCAAACTACTATATATCTTCCTACATTGACAGATATAACAAGCAAATTGAAAGAAAAGAAAACCTATTTTACATGGCAAAAAGCAAAATATCAGCAATTGAATTATGCATATCTACCAGACATTATACATATCTAGATTTTCTTTGTTAGGCTATATGGATAAGTAATAATATAAAATTGATATTTCTCTTTATTTTAGTAAAATCACTATTATCATCAAGATTTTCACTTAATTTGTGTTCTATTGACAGCAATAATTTACAGCTTTGCTGTTCTGTTTGGTAACACCTAACAGCATTTCTGGTGTTTTGTTCCTCAGTGGCACTAGCTACATTTCAGATATTCAGTAGCTTCATGTGGCTGGAGCTACTGTATTGTACAACGTGGAAAGAGAACAAGTCCGTTATCATAGAAAGCACTGTTGAACAACACTGATCTGAAAGATACATGTATTCAGGCCTGAGGTGGCTTGCAGCTGTAATCCCAGCAACTCAGGAGGCAGAGACCAGAGGATCACTTGAGGCCAGGATTTCAAGACCAGCTAGGACAGCATGGCAAGATCCTGTCATTACAAAACAATTTTTTAAATAGTCAAGCAGGGTGGTTTATCCCTGTAGTCCCACCTACTGAGGAGGCTGAGGCTGGAGGATCATTGAGCCTCGGAGTTTGAGGTTGCAGAGCTGTGCACTCTACACTCCATCTGGGTAAAGAATGAGATCTCGATTCTAAATAAATAAATAAAGGATTAATGTAGTCAAATCATACAAAATATATGTACTTATACCACAAATGTAAATTACTTTTATTTCAGAAAATTAAAATTACTTTCATTACTTTCCTATAGTTGTTAAAAGTTTTCTTTCAAATGATTTAAAGTTATCTACTAGAATTAAAATGCAAAATACAAATTGTGACAATGAATATAAACACTGAAATTAAAGTTATTTTTTAAAGTGTAAACATTTTATTTTAATATTTGAAAATTTAATTACACCTTATTAATGTGTAAATGAAACATAAACTTATTACCAATTCTAGCATTCATTGTTTACCTGGTTGCCAACATGAATAATCAGTATTATGTTTCATGTGTTATAACTTGATATTTACCATTTTAACAGTAATATTAAATATTTAATTTTGCGAAATATTGGGCAATCACCGTGTTCAACTATACGCAAATACTATACTGCCTTGTGACTTCTTCCAGAACCATGAATTGGAACAAAAAAAGATGCAATGAAATGGATGTTTGGCATTACTAGGAGACCCTTATTATCTAAGACTGTATGATATGCTTGCTATCTAAAAGGAAGGTTTTGACTGTTCAGTTCATTTGACTTTTCCTTTAATTAAGCACTTCCACTATACATCATCCACATATTTAGGAGTGTCCATCTTCCATGTCAGCAGCAGCACATCCTGCAAACCTTCCAGTTGTGGGATACAGTCACCTTTTGTTTCAAGAACAAGGGGCTATAGGGGAGAAGTGTTTCTCGGGGGCATGAATAGTGATGGTTTTGAAAGCAAAGGGTTGGGGCTATGTTTAACGCAGCCTCGACACAGACCCCTACTGACAAAAGTGGCTGTATGTTCCTTAATAAATTTATTTTTATAGGTTTGTGATGCTCAGGGCAGGAGCCCATCCTGCCAGTTGGTGGGCAGAATTACTGGCTGTACTTGTGCAGTGCTGGTGCCTGGCAGCAGTAACTCCGCTCTTGAGATTTGTCCAAACCCCATTAAAGTCGAAATGTAAATATAAAAATGAATACTGATCTGACCATAACCCATCCCTACCTATCCAAAACATTATGTTGGATTAGGAGGTTAACCCCATGCGGAAAGTTCCTAAGCTAGCCAAAGTATTTGCCAAGAAGTGTGGACAAAATGATAGTTTAGATACCTCCCAAGGTCACTTAATTGTAACCGATGGAAAAGGAAAAGAAAACATTGTCATTGTTTCCATTGCTCATGTTTTCTTACCTAGGCCTTGCTGAAATGATTGCTTCCCATTTTTAGATGCATATTGGGATTATGAAAGTGTGTTTTGAGAGAAATGGAAAATGAAAATAAGCATTCTTGTATAGGTTTCCAAAATGTATTCTCTTTTGTTTACCAAGGATAGCAAGTTGTAGGAAGGAAGGGAGGGAGGGAGGGAAGGGAAGAAGGGAGAGAAGGGGGAAGGGAAGAAGGAAGGAAGGGATAAAGAGAGAGAGAGAGCTAGCACTGAATGTATAGTCCAACTTCATTTGAATCCCAACTGTGTGAGTTAAATGAGTTCATTTCCACTTCCTGACTTGTAGAAATGGAATTATATGTGAAAGCTCTGTGTAAACTTTGAGGCACTGAGCAAGCTTGATTATTTATTATGTTGATCTCTGATTAAGCAAAGCTGGGAGTGCGTAGTGCCTCATCCTACTCCCCACCCATCTTGCCCCGGTTATTCTTTCCCTCAGAGGACAGTCCAGCCAGGCACAGCAGTGGGGCCTCAGCCACGTGACATGCAGATCCCTGTCCTTGTGCCTACGCACCATTTGCATTGACTTTACTTAGCTTCAGGCATGAGAGGAGCAAATAGAACTTTTCACCCAGGACTGACTTCACTTCACAGCTTCCCTCACCTTTTGAATGTGTATATATTGAAACCAGGGAAAATGGAATGAAAATGAAAAAAACATCATTAGTTTTTCACAGGGGTCAGAAGAAACCAGGTCATTTAAACTTTCACCAGTGAAGCCCTGTTTCACCTGAACAAATGACAAAAAGGGAGCAGGTGCCCCCTTTTTTGTGGCTGTTCATATCCTACCTAAGGTCAGAACCTGTCACTGACAAAAGGCAAAGCTTATCCAAGCATAGTTCAAAGCCACTTTTGTATAAAGGCTTAAACCACTGGAATGAATTTTTTAGATGCCCCAGGAATTCAGTCTCGTGGCCTGATTAAAAGCAGAGAGGTAATAGGTTTAGTTCTTTGCATTGCCCACATTACCCTCAGAATATAAATTAATCTCTGCATTGTTAGTACTGAGGCAGTGTATTACACATTCTTTTTTATATTATGAAGAGGTTATCAGAACCTTTCACACTGTTACCATTTGTAACACTGGCAAATTCACTTAACCTCTCTGTGCTTCAGTTTCCTTATCTGTAAAACAAAGATAATCACTGTCCACACCTCACAGAGTTGTGAGGATTAAACAATAATGTAATAAGTATTCTAATAAAATAATAGTTCCTGGCTGGGTACAGTGGCTCATGTGTATAATCCCAGCACTTTAAGAGGCAAAGGCAGGAGGATCACTTAAGCCCAGGAGTTTGTGACCAGCCTGGGCAACATAGTGAGACCCTGTCTCTATAAATAAATAAATAAATAAATAGCCAGTCATGGTTGCACACGCCTGTGGTCTCAGCTACTTGGAAGTCTGAGGTGAAAGGATCACTTGAGCCTGAAGTCATGGCTACAGTGAACCATGATAGCACTACTGCACTCCAGCCTGGGGGACAGAGCAAGACCTTATCTCAAAAAAAAGTCAATTCCTGGCACATCATTAGTGTAGTAAAAGTTGTTGCTGGCCGGGAACGGTGACTCGTGCCTGTAATCCTAACACTTTGGGAGGCCAAGGCGAGTGAATAATGAGGTCAAGAGATTGAGACCATCCTGGCCAACATGGTGAAACCCCATCTCTACTAAAACACAAAAAATAGCCAGGTGTGGTGGCACGTGCCTGTAGTCCCAGCTACTCAGGAGGCTGAAGCAGGGAATCCCTTGTACTGGGAGGTGGAGGTTGCAGTGAGCCGAGACCACACCACTGCACTCCAGCCTGATGACAGAGAGAGACTCCGTCTCAAAAAAAAGTTGTTGTTGTTGATGATATTAACTAATGATTTTTAAATTAAATCAAAGAGAACTTACCATGCACAAATTCCATGCTGGGGTTCTGTACACATGCAGATGAGTTAGAAATATCTAACGGGGCCCAGTTACCATTTAGATGGGAAGAATTTCCATTAGATGTTCCTGTCCTTTCTCATCACACTCTTCTTTCTGGGTATAAAGAGTTTATATCAGCTGCCAGACTCAGCATCAGACCAGTAAAACTGCATGGCTTATCATGGCAGGCCCTTAGTGTTTCCTCATCTACAAAATGAGAATAACTCCTGTGCTGTCTAACTTCACTGTGTTTTTGTAGAGCCAATGACAGTGTATGCGAAAGTTCTTTATAAACAGGGAAAGCCTATGCACATCGAAGGTAGTATACTGGGTCTTTAATTACTAGACAGAGTTTCTCATGAAGCTCTTTTATTTAATTTTACCAAATAGGACTGAAAGTTCACAATTTACACATAGGTCATATTTTATAAAAATCTTTTTCTGATTGGAACTTTTACCTTTTTGCTATTTTAGGTAAAATGACTAGGTAGGTTGATAATTTCTAAAAAGTATCATTTTAGTCACTGTAAGATCAGTAGCGGGGCAGATCTTACAAGGCAATCTCAATATACTGTACCAGAAAATATGAATTTGCAGCTATGTCTGAGCCTGTGTTCCTAGGAACCAGGAGATCCATGAAATGATCTACTGGAGAGACCCTGGTGGGATACCCTCTGAAAGTTTCTTTATATATTCTGCCAGGGACGGCCCAGATCTCCTGGTGAGTTTCTTGATGCAAGTGCAGCAGAACACCAGGGCTGCCTGTCACTGAGGCCCCCAGAGCAACAGGTCACGCTGTACCCTCTTCTTCCGCTCCTGCATCCTGAACTAGGGGAAACAGCTGCCTACACAAAAGCAGTCTTCTAACCAGAATAGCCCTACTGCCCTGTCCCCTGGGGACAGGAGAGCCTGGATCAAGCTTTATCCTGTCCGGAAGCAGGATTCCATCTACCAGACCAGCGGCTGCAGCCACAGTATAGACACAGTAACTACCCGCCCACATGCTATTGGCAATGGTTTTTCAGGCTGGTTAATCGTCTATAGAAAAAGCAAAAAGCCAATTTATAAAGATTTAATCAGAGCCCTCTGGCGGTCACTGTGCAGTCTCACTACTTTTGTTTAAGTTTCCAAGAAGTACTAGAAGAAAATGGTTTCTGCAAACCTTTTAGAGCTGGGAAGTTTTAGAGATCTGCTGGCTCACTCAGAGAGTGAAATGACACTTCACCGTTTGAATCACAGTCAATTCAAAGGCACAGGCGGCAGCTTACCAAGTAGCAGCTACTTTCCATGTGAGGGTTCATTAAAGGAGAGAGCATCTGTCTTTGTGTCCCTCTTTTTGCCCAGAGCCTTTGAACTAACATTTCATGTTAGTTCTTGTGCCTTGTTTGAGACAATTATTTTCCTCAGAACATATTGCGGAGGTTTGTCAGATTTTCCAAAATTCAGGGTGGAAATTATGGTACTTTATCATGTTCCCATGGATTCATAGTTCCTTTTTATTTCACTTTCTTTAAAACAAATCCTTTGAAGTTGATAGGTATGTTCCTTAAAACTCAGCTTGACTAATACTATTAAGAAACGTTATGCTAACAATGTCAGTCCTACCTTAGATAAAATTATTGCAACAATGGTGTCCTAGGTCCTGTGATCTGTAATAAGGCTGTGTTTCCAACAGAATATGAAAAAAAAAAAATATTTCAATACAAACATCAAAGAAAAGATCATCTTTAGTCTCTCTTCATCTTTGATATTTTAAAGTTTCCAAATGTTGTGGTTGGAATTGACAATTTAGACAGTCGTTATTCTCAAGATGAGACAAGCTGTACTGGAAAACATTCAAGCTTATCTCAGCATGTTTTTTAATCTAACATTTACTGAGTTCTTACTATGAACAAAGCATTTTGCTAGGGCATTAAACCTCTGAAAGACATGCACAGTTATGATGCCCATTTTAGAGAGAAGAAGACTGAGGCTTAAAGCTAGTCTGACAGATATTATAAAGATAAGGCAGCATAATTAGGCCACAGTCACTCAGCTAGTAGTAACTGGTAGAGTTGTGATTTGTAGGCAAATATTCTAATTTCCAGAGCCCCCTTTCTTACTCAGTATTCTGTATCTTCCATCTCCATTTTGTCTCTTTTCCTACCATAAACTCACCATCAAATTGTCTAACTTTCCATTCACTGGCCACATGCTACACTGATCTAATTTAGATAATGATCTAAAAGCTCCCATCTAAATTGTATTCATCCATCAAGGATGTATAAGTTAGGACTGAGATCGTCTGTGGGTAACAGAAAACCCAGTTAACACTGGGGCAGAACATTGGTTAAGGGCACACTACCTGTTTTCAAAGTTCAGCCGTTCCACATGCTGAGTTACTTGGGATAACAATGGTAGCCACTGGTTCATATGAAGATTAACTCTGAATTCATGTAAACTGACTAGAAAGTCCTAGAAACATTTGCTGTTGTCATTATTTAAACTAATAAGTGGATTTAATTTCTCACATTAAAAAAAAAAATCAGATGTAGGCAGTCCAGGTGGTGCAGCCACATCACAAAGCCAGGAAGGAACCAGGCTCCTTCTGTCTCCCTGCTTGGACATTTCCTGCATGTCAGTTTCATTCTCTGGGTTGTAAAATCTAAGTGCCTCCTTCAGCATTCCAGGCAGAACAAAGAGGAGAGATGAGGGACAAAAATGACTTATTTGAATAGCCTTTGGCTTTTCTTCCAGAAGAAAAGGCCTCCTAAAGTTTTTCTCCTTCAGCTCATTAGCCACAATGATGTCCTATGGTCATTTCGCTTCAGTGGAAGGGAGAAGTTTAATCCTTCATTTTCCTCTCCAGTGGAGGAAGGCAGGGGAGAATGGGATTGGGAATGTGTGTTGAGTGAACTGACCTCTAGTACCATCCAAGAGACCCATCTCAAACCACACCGACTTGTCTTCCCCAATTATCAACATTACCAATGCCATTTCTTCGGTGCTAATTTTTGGTTCATTCTGCCTTAGAACCATACTTTTGCATGAGTGGTCTCTTCTCAACCTTCAGGTTCCAGTTAATGTCTTCTCCTTAGAAAGAAATCCTCTAACCACCCATTGAATATACGTCCCTCTCTTACTCTCTTTTTTAGCACCCTGTTTATTTCCTTTATAATGCTTAATTCAATTTTCAAGATGAGAGGGATAATACTTGTTGAATTCCTGATAAGCAGGGCTTTCTCCCTGCCCATGGTATACAACTATGGCCCTAGTAAGAGGACAGGTTACTGACACCTCAGGAAGGAGGATATACTGTGGAGCTCACATCAAAGAGGATGTGGAAAACCATCCCCTTCCTCCTGCAGTAGATAACTGAAAGAAAAAAGGAAATTAAATTAGAGCTAAGGGGTCAGGCATCAGTGCAGAGCTAAGAATATTGGGATTCATGGCCCACCTCTAGAGAATAGTCTGAGAAGATGGCAGAGCTCTCAAAGAAATCTCAAGTTCAACATGGTACTAATTTAACTAGGTCAGGCACAGTAATTTCATAGCTGTACAAGGCAGTAGCTAGATGTTGAACAAATGAATGAATTACTCTGAAAGATCATTTTGATGGGATGTGACTATTCTGATGGGAACTGGGATCTTGGCCTCACTACCGTGTAGGTACAATGCGATGTTTTGCTTCCCTGGAAAGACGATGACCTCTTTAAGGCAGAGACTGCCTTTTTCTTCTTTGCATCCCCTTTGGGGTCTCTCATTGAGGCACTTCATGGGTGTGTGTTAATTGATTGAAAAGGAGGATGAAAATTAAAATAACAGAATTAGGAAGATGCAAAAGAGTATAAGTCCCAAGGTTGCCTGTATTTTTCTTCAGAGTGGGCCTTAGAGCTCACCAGAAAAAGAGAGATACCGTAGATGATATAGGCAGATACTGCCTGCTCACTTCTGTGTTTCAGTACTACTTTGGGATGGAAGAATAGCCTTGAAGTTGATAAGATTCCCAGGGGATATCTGAGATAAGAAAACAAATATTTAACTGTAAGCAATGGGGCTTTGTGCTTCAATCATGACTTGTATCATACACATCAAGAACTAAGCTGTCTTGAAATCTTGATTGACCTTTTAGGTTTCATTTTGTTTCCCTACCAAAAGATTAACTTGGATTTCTTAAACAAAACTATTTGCTTGGTAGAAATGTAGATTTTGTATTCCTTGTTTGCTGACTTGTGAAACCATCAGAAGGATCAAATGAGATGTATATGAAACACTTAGTATGCTGGAAGGTGCTATGTGGATGAAAATTATATCTTATGAATATTACCATTAGCCTCTGTTTTAGGCCCTCTTTATAGGAAAAGATACTGAAAGCAGAAAAGTCCAATAGTTTTTCAGGGCTTTGGGTTAAAGATGGAAGATTGAACTTTTACTTTTGCCTCCTCCTGAAAGCTTAAAATAACAATAGAAGGATAAGGGGAAATGTAATTAAGCCACAAAAACAAAGAACCCGAGAGAAGGCAACAGCAACAAACTTTTGAGAGTCAAAAAGCAGGAATAAAAAAGAGTGGCAACTGACTCAACAGAGCAAGGAAAAACAAATCTGTGGCCAGCCAGCATTGGGGAGACCCAAGATATGCTCTGATCTACACAGAAGAAGTACCAAAGGCCTCAGGAATTGCAGCTTAAAGTGGGCTGCGACGAGGAGGATTGGTTAAATATTTTTTTTAATGTAGCAAACTGCCTTTTCCTCAAATCATCCTTTGTCCACTTAGCTGAAGCAAGTTGAGACCTCTTATCCGTTCTGGCTGAAGAAGTTAATTCTCTGGCAAAGTTGTCACGGAAGGTGTCCCCACTTGTGGAGACTCTGACACAACTGAGGTTGGGCATGCCCTGTTGAAAATAAGTGATGGATATTGAAACATCTCAACCCTTCTTTCCACTTATCTCTCAGAATTCTGACAGCCTTTTACCCTCCACATAGATCAAAGATCGAGAAGCAGAAAGAAATACCATTTGACCCAGCAATCCAATTACTGGGTATATACCCAAAGGAATATAATTCATCCTATTGTAAAGACACATGCACGTGTGTGTTCATTGCAGCACTATTCACAACAGCAAAGACCCAGAACCAACCCAAATGCCCATCAATAATAGACTGTATAAAGAAAATGTGTACCTATACCCCATGGAATACTATGCAGCCATAAAAAGAAACATCATGCCCTTTGCAGGGACATGGATGGAGCTGTAAGCTGATCCTCAGCAAACTAACGCAGGAACAGAAAACCAAACACTGCATATTCTCACTTACAAGTGGGAGCTGAACAATGAGAAAAAGTAAACACATGGTGGGGCACAACACACACTGGGGCCTGCCACAGGGGTCGGGGAGGGAGAGTCTCAGAGAGAATAGCTAATGGGTGCTGGGCTTAATACCCAGATGATGGGTCGATCTGTGCAGCAAATCACCATGGCACATGTTTACTTATGTAACAAACCAGCACATCCTGCACATGTACACCAGAACTTAAAATAAAATTTGATGAAAAAAATAAAATAATGTCCATGTTTAAATATGAGTAGAAAACCAGAGACCACTCCCCAAAGAAAACTGGGGAAAATTTCTAATAAAAAATAAATATGGCCAGGTGCAGTGTCTTGGCTCACGTTTGTAATCCCAGCACTTTGGGAGGCTGAGGCAGAAGGATCACTTGAACCCACAAGTTCAAGACCAGACTAGCCTACATATTAAGACCCCCCATCTCTAAAAAAATTTTTTTTTAATTGGCCAGGGATGGTGACATATGCCTGTGGTCTTAGCTACTCAGGAGGCTGAGGTGGGAGGAGCCTCCTTGAGCCAAGGAGATCTAGGTTGCAGTGAATCATGATTGTGCCACAGCACTCCAGCCTTGGTGAAAGAGAGAGAGACCCTGTCTCAAACAAAAAAGTATGGAATTTTGTATACAAGAGATTCAACATAATAGAGGCAAAAAAAGTTATCAGAATTGTAGGGTGCAGAAAAGTTAGTGAAAACTGGACTGGATCAGAGGATCCATCAGAGATGTCATCAGGTAGATGAAATTGACAATACTTAATATATTTAGACATACTGAGAGGAGATATAGATATTTGTGGGTTGAATTTGTAATGAATTGGTGGTAGGAATTAGATGCTTAGAAACCTAAGGCAGCAAAAAACAAGTCTATTATTAACTCTAAAACGTTAGAAAGGAAAGGAAATGTTATCACCTTATACAATAGTATCTCAGCTGTGAACAGCATTGGTTGTTATAATAATGTTAATAATAAATATTTCCCTGACCAAAAGTATCATATAAGTATCCACTGAGAGGACAGAAGCGTGGTGTTTCTGCAGTATGGGAGTGGAGAAGTGGTTGTGGTGAGGGGTCATAGAGAAAGAGCTGATTTCTCATCTCCCAAGGTGGGAGTCAATGGCAAAGTCCTAAATTAACAGTATAAACATGATAGAGATGTGAAGGTCAATACCAAACTAAATGGCCAACAAAGTTGAAAGTTACCATCTCTCAGAAGGGGAAATGCATACGTGTATGTGCTTGGGTGGTGGATACTGCACTCATTATTAAAGATTTTGTGTACATGTCACTTTATTACAACTATAAACTAAATTTCCTAAAAAGTCACCTAAATTGCCAAACTATATTTTTGCACAAGGGGCAAAATTATAGGTTCTCACCTTGAATTTTTTCTTTGTTCGTTGGATTTTACAACTTGTCCCACTTCTAAGCACTTGAGGTACTGAATCTACAAACAAACAGTGGCCAGAATATATATAAAAATAGAACTTTGATGCACAATCTCCTGCAACCAGCTGGGGAAGCCAAACAGTTATCTATATTAACCAGTTCGTGAAAGCAGCCTGCTGTAACTCTGACCTATAAGAAGTGAGACTACACTCTCTAGCAACCAGTGCAGGAAATTAAAAAAATAACCTCTGTAGCATTCAGCCCCAAAAGCCCAGAACTTGATTAATAATTGACAGCTTTCCTAATTTTTGTCCCTGCTTCCAACTTAGGACCAATCAGAGAAAGCCAAATATATGCCCCAAACCAATCACATTGGATGCCCTGCTCCCAGTTAGCAGCCTCCAATTTCCCTGGCCAGTGGCCTCCAATCAGGGCACACTTGGAACCTGCCTCTTCTCCACTATAAAACCCTCCCACTCTTCTCCATGCCTTTGAGTCTTGGCAAAATACAAGTAATGGTGGCCGACTACCTTGCTATAACAAGCTCTGTATAAATATCCTTTGCTTGTTCTCATTTGCTTGGTCTTCATTTATTTCTACATACTATTTTTAGGTATTAAACATTTTTAAAGATTGAGAACCATTTGATTTGTCAAAAATTAATGCCCACTAAAGCAATGATCCAAGTTCAAAAAGATTTAATCGTTTCCTGAAAAAAATCCTTATATTTATCCACTCACGTGTTGCATTCTATTTCCATGTGCAAAGTGCTACACTGGGTATTATGGAAAATACAAAAATAAATTAGACTATTTGAGTATTTCACATAATTGGATTTAATAATTTCAGAGTTTCTTAAATTCAGATAATCAAAGTTATCTTAAGATTAGGTAACTTGAAGCTGTATTCATACTTTTAAGAAAGTGGAACATAACTTTAAAAATCAAGTTGCCAAAATGAGAGATCAAGTTGTACTTCCATATTTTTTATTTTACATTTTCTCTCACATAGTCCAATTGAAGTTTTCTTATTTAACTATCTTGGCATATGTCGAAAATTTGCTTTTTCTCCCTTGAAATCTTAACTACTACAAATACAAATATTAAGTGTATTTCATTTACCCACTGAATTGAACTGAATTTAAAACTGAATTGCAGATGTCCCATGAAGGGGCACATATATGATTATGGAAAATGATTCTATTGAAAATAACAGTAGCTTTTATAGTGATATAAATCTGAGAAAGCAAAATAAATTGAGGTTGGAAAAACAGATGTATTCAATAAAAAACTACTGTGTGCACGTGGTGAACTAGTCTTTAGCAAGATTCGAATAATGCAATCAGTAGGAATTTTGCTGGCCTGTGGAGTTTTCAAAGGCATGGATGTTCGAATAATAGCTAGAAATTTGTTGTGGACACGGGGCTATTAAGCCTGTCTCCCGCTGCATTCAATATAGTGGTAAAAACTATTATTAAATAACTGATTTTATAGCAACTGTTACAATTATTTGACCAAACTATAAATTAAAGTTTATGATGGATGCAAATGTACATCTTAAAATGTATAATACTAATTTAGGTTCCTTTCTCATTTTAAAATAACCATTCAGATGACAGAACAGTGATTACCAAAATAAGAGCAAATTAATAAGGCTGACAGGAAGACTTCTCGAAAGTGTGAAACATTAAATGTGCCTTTACTTTTCAAACACAGAATCCTACAATTATCAGGGGCCTCGTCCCTCACTGAGTGCACACCACTCCCATTAGCGGTAATGGCACTGATGCACATGAAACCCCGAGAAACAATCAAGGGTCACAAATGACGGATCTGGTTCCCAAGCCTCCTGTGTCACATGTTGAGGTCCACCACACCTGGTGAAGAGGAACTGTAACTGATTAACCCACTGATGGTCAGTCTTTCTAGCCGTTGCTGCCACCTGCATCATTTCCTCCCTTGAAGCCCTGAAATCAAACTTGTCAATTTATAAAGGACAAAATTCTTTGTTAAGTGAAATGCCTCATACTTAGGCACAAGTAAAGCTTTTCTGATGCAGGGATAGGAACTGATTCCATTTTCTCTCCCTAGTTTGTTCCCTGCATCAGAATATTTTCAAACTTGGAAAGCCTTTTATCACTGAAGCTTTTTAGAAATGATGGATTCCCAGGCCCTGGCCTGTGTTTACAGTCTCTGAGGCTGGGAGTTGGCAGTGCGTTTCCTAAAGACCTTCATGAGATTGGGGGTTGGGGTGTGAGCAGGGTTTGAGAAGCAGTAACACTACCCTGTAATATCCAACTCAGTATTCGGCAAAAAGTAAGCACATAATACTATTTGAGGATAGAACAATTTAAAGGAGGATTTAAAAATATTTTTAATTATATTATATATAATATAGACATAAATATGTATATTATATAATATAGACATACATATTCCTGAAAAATCTCAGGAACAACTTGACTCTACCTTTGACTCAAAGTAAATATTCATATTAATAAAATGCACACATGGGTATTCCAGAGCATTGAGTTTAAATTAAAAATATTAAAAGTCCCTAAGATTGTGAATAGACCCAATGTGAGATACATATAAAACACACACACACAACGCATGTGCATGCACACATACAGGTTTTTGGAAAATAAAAATTTTAAAGAGCATAGAAGAGTTGGAAGCCACTCTAGAATTCATATAATCTAGGCTTTAAAAACAATCTATTTGACCATCATAATCATCAGGGAAGATGTGTAGAAGGATCAGTTATGAAAATCTCCTCCTTAAGTACTGAATCTAAATTTCAGAGAGGGACCCTGGGACTCTGTATGGTTTAAAATTTTGAAAACACATCCCATGATTCATGTGGGAATTCTAACTTTTCTTCCAAGTGTCTCTGTTCTTTCAGTGCTTGCCTGGATGATGTGGCTTCCTGCCATTGATCATCTGGTCACTGTCCTTTGAGCAAATCTATCTGCCTGGTTCTCACTGAAAGCACAGTGGCAGATGTGTAGCTGAGAGAGGGCGTCTTTCTCCACATTCTGGATTCTGGTCTACCAGAGCATCAAGATCCAGGTAACTATTTGGCAACATTTTTTCATCTTTGGCTCATATTGATCTAGCAGTTAACCAAAAATGTTGGGTTTTGTTTGTTTTTAAAGTATTGTTAAGCCATAGTTTCCCCATCTTGTCTTTGTGAAATTGAATGTTAACCTAGTGCAGAGGCACTTTATGGTTGGTCTTGTTAGATTTAGTTCCAGATCCAGGTTTTCAGGTTCATTTGGAATGAATCTTTTAACAATAGTTGTCACCCTCTTCGATGGAGTTTTCACCTGGCCACACACCTGCCACATGTCTAACTGTTCAGCCCAGGCTTCCCCATCTTGTTAATAGAAACTCCATAAGAAAAGTGTAGAGCTGCCATCCTTGAAATTAAATCTTGAAACCTATGTTGTTCAGCATTACTCCAAATCTCTTTATCTGCAAGGTATATTTTACTTTATATGCTCAGAATATTTTATGTGAAAAATTTAGCTGTCAATAGATGCATTCCACATTTCACAACTTACCTCTTTTTAAAATTTTCTTTTCATAGAAACAGCTTTACCAAAGTAAAATTTCTTATGAGATTCTTTTTTCTAAATTTCCACCAACATACACTGTCTCCTTTTCTGACAAGCTTCTAGCTGGTCCAAAGGCCACAGTGTCTGACAGTAATTCGCCGAGGTACCACATTTCAATTGCTTCAGCACATTTCAATTAGGAGACCTTTTAGGTGAGAAAGAAAAAGAAATGGAGTGGGAGTCAGGTAATGCTAAAGAAAAACAACGTGAAAGGTTGGGATAAGAAACATCTTTGGACAATGGAAAAAGGAAAAATAAACCTCACAAGAATTCTCAGGAAGAACTTGACTCTACCTTCGACTCAAAATAACTATTTGTAAAATGCACATGTGGATATTCCAGAGCTTTGGGTTTAAGTATTTCCAAAACCCCTAAGATTATGAATGGACCTAATGTGAGATACTTTTCTAGAAGTTTTAGTCTAATAGTGAAGATGTAATTTATATTAGGCTTTCTGTTGGCATAAAGAAAAACAAAAAGTGTCTTAAGCAAGAAAAGGAATTTACTGGCTTATTTGTAGTCCAGACACTGGCCTCACTTCAGTCTGCCTGAATCCTACAATGATGTCATCAGACCCCTGTTTCTGTCTGTCTTGCTGATCTACTTCCTACCTCTGCTGATCTCATTTGTTGGTGGGTACTCTCCTCTTAATAGCAATATATCTGCAGACTCACACATTCAGAGCCCACATCCAGAGTAAAAGAAACAATATTTCCTCTCATTAATTCTGCCTAAGTATAGTTAATTGAAGAACAGTCACCCAAAGATACCAAGTTCTAATCCTGGAACAAGCAAATGCCACCGTATGAGAAAAAAAGCAGTCTTCAAAGATGTGTTTACTTTAAGATTCTTGACATGAGAGATTTAGTCTGGATATTGCAGATATCCCCCAAGTGCAATCACAAGTGTCTTTGTAAGAGAGAGGCAGAGGGAGACCCCACACACAGAAGAGGGGGAGGCAACGTGACTATTGAGGCAGAGATAGGAGTGACAGGGCCCCAAGTAAAGGAATGCCTGCAGCCACCAGAATTAGCAAGGAACAGACTCTCCCCTAGAGCCTCTGGAGGGAGCATGGCCCTCTGACAACTTGGTTTTGGCTCCATAAAACAGATTCCAGACTCCTGGCCTCCAGAAATGCAAGGGAATAATTTCAGTTTCTTTATGCCACCAAGTTTGTGGTAATTCGTTGTAGCAGCCACAGGAAATCAATACACCAGGTAACGTGAACGGTGCTGATTTGACCAATCTGAGCCACAAGGCTACCTCTGAGCCAGTTGCTGCACACTGACAAGGTAGGATGGGGTTTTAGTAGGGGAAGAGGTTTCCCAAAAGGAAGACATAACTGGAAATAGATGCAGGTGGGATGAGGGGGCAAAAACAAAAAGAAAAACACCCAGCAGACATTCTCTTCCTGTTTAAGAGAAAACAGAAAGGAAGTTCAAAGGTAACATTTATATGCAAGAAAATTATGACGTTAGGGCACTTGAGCTTTGTGTTGCTTCGATGCTGTTGTCAAGCAGCTTATGATTAGGATGCACTGGGTTGATCAGGGACCACTCACTAAGAGCAGATTTGTTTTTATTGCTGATCACTGGAACGTCTCCAAGTCTGACATGTCTCTTTTTGGAACAGTTGTATGTTAAGATCACACATATTATTTTAAATATAAATAAACATACTGTGTTATTAGGCTAGGGTAATAACTTACATTTATTTTATAATATTCTTCACAATTATGTCTAAAATAATGTATTAACAATGTTTGCTACAGTAAAAGCTGTGTCAGAGTTTATGGAGTGAAGTCTACAGCACTTTCCACACCTCTCCTTGGATTCTAACTCGGTGGCCTCTGAAGGCTGTGCTCCAGGATGGCTCTCCTTCTTGTGTGGGCTTTGGCCTTGGGTAACTTACACTTTCTAATGTCAGATTCTTTATGTGTAAAATGAGGATAAATGACTTTGCTGCATTTTCTTTCAGGATTATCTAAAAAAAAATGGGTGACAGCATCTAGCAGGGTGCCCAGCACAAAGTAAGATGCTAGACATACTCTATTGTGAACCCATAATCCAATAAGCACTGCTTAGCTCATTATTCCCTACATTTGTCTGATTATGCTTACCCACACTGAAGCTCTTCAAATGGCTCGTTTCTACTTCCAAAGATCTACTTGTACCTTCCAGTTGGCTTAGCATGTTGATGTGCAGAGGAGCCTGATGTCACATGTGCGCTGGACATCTTAGTATTTTCTCTCCCTTTTCAAACCTTCATGAAATATAAAATAAGATCAGTGTCAGTTCTGAGCCATGCAGGGCTAACCCTGCTTATTTATTCCAAAAACGTTTTAGATGCTAATAAGATTTCTTCAATATGACCAGGGATCACAGTCCACCTCCCCAACCTGAGATGGCTCATTTGCCTTTGTTGTGAAACTGTCAGACTTTATTTTGAAGATTCAAAGTAATAGGATCTATTAGTTATTTCTCAGCTTTTTCATTATTTACTCTAAAAAGCTGTAGTAGATAAGTCAGGCATAATCTCCCTTTTGGACGTTTTGCTGGAGGGAAGAGGAAAGCGAGCATCGCTTGATGCATACGGAAGAGCAATCCCCAGTTAGGGGCACGTCAGCCTCGTCTCATGTTCCAGTGAGACAGTGACTGCCTCTGGACTGGTCGGCAACACAGCAGCAGCTCTAAGTTTTAAGGGACATTTGGGAAATCTCTGGCCAGGTTGGACAGGTTTGCAGAGGTTGTATTACTTCATCTTTGCCCAGTAAATTTTAGAACTCAGTTGCAGAACTCTCAAAATCGTTTGATTGCTAGCCTTTGTTCTCTAATGAATATCTGCCTATATTCAGGGTAGCTGTCATTCCAAACATTATAAACCACATCTTAAATAAATTTTACTGGGCTTCAGGGACTTGGGGAGATATAGAGATGAAATACAGAGAGATGACTTTACAGATATAATTTAAACATTTGCTAAAATGTAAATAATGGAAGCTTACTATTTAATGAGGAATTTTATCCATTTTGTATATATAATTTATAGCTTGTTGAGTATCACAAGATCTCACTCATCCTACAGGAATACTTTCCATTCTGGAAATAGGTATGCCAAAACCCCAAAGCATTAGAAGTAGTGAGATTATGAACAACTTTGCATTTCTTCTTTTTTCCTAGGCACATTTCCTTAAAATACTATATTTAACAAATGTTATGTTCCTAAAATGAAATATTTTGATTAATGCTTAAAAAATTAAGAACTTTAAAACAGAAACACCAATTATGAATATGCAGCATAGTGTTAGTCTTTACAGGTTAAAGCTGGAAATGCATCTAATAACAGAAAATTGTTTAAGTTTCATATCCATACAGTGGAATGCAATGATCCCTTAATAAATATTTGCATTCATTTTTGGGGGAGGAAGGAAACACACTAAAAATTTACAGAAATTTTTTTGATTATCTTGTTTTTTCATTATTTGCTCAACAAGCCCTCCTTTTGACTCATTCCAATCTTTACCGAAAACTGGTACCTTCCATCTAGAACACAGATAGAAAGCTCACATTATAAGAAGCAAGAATGATGTTAATTAAAAGAACACAAACTTACATTATCAGGGGCTCTTCTGAAAGTCTGACATTACAACAAACAGCCAACTTGAAACTTAGATGCAAGGGTCCTTTAAATGGTGTGTAACTCATATTGTGGAAGAAGGGATATTCAGAATATATCCAAAAATATTTGGAATTTGCAAATTGATGTGAATATAATAGGGTAGAATTTTCACAAGTATTTTATATCTGAAGTTGGATAATAAAAATATGGTTCTAATAAAAAAGGAAGGGAAACTCCTTCAGGACAAAAAGTGATTATGTCAAGCCTTGTGAATGATTGTAAAATATGGGAACTCAAGATTTAGCAAAGCAATTCCAAAGGTTAAGTCCATTTCTCATGAATGAGTGATGCACTCATGTGGTTGCCAAGTGATCAACCTGATGAAAAGGACAGCTCTGCTTCCAGGGAGGGTTCTCCTCAGGTTGTTGTCCTCATAGCTGGGTAGAGGAATGCTAGGCACTAGGAAATAAGTTATCCAGTGTGGTAGAAATCCAGGACCGTGATGAAAAGGACAGCTCTGCTTCCAAGGAGGGTTCTCCTCAGGTTGTTGTCCTTGTAGCTGGGTAGAGGAATGCTAGGCACTAGGAAATAAGTTATCCAGTGTGGTAGAAATCCAGGACCGTGACTAGAGGGACAGAATCAGCCAGTTGAAAAGCACAGATAAAGACATAGCCATGGCCGGGCGCGGTGGCTCAAGCCTGTAATCCCAGCACTTTGGGAGGCCGAGGCGGGTGGATCATGAGGTCAAGAGATCGAGACCATCCTGGTCAACATGGTGAAACCCCGTCTCTACTAAAAATGCAAAAAAAAATTAGCTGGGCATGGTGGCGTGTGCCTGTAAGCCCAGCTACTCAGGAGGCTGAGGCAGGAGAATTGCCTGAACCCAGGAGGCGGAGGTTGCGGTGAGCCGAGATCGCGCAATTGCACTCCAGCCTGGGTAACAAGAGCGAAACTCCGTCTCAAAAAAAAGACATAGCCATGGCGATTAAAGTTTGTAGATAATCTAGGCTTGTTACTTGAAGGCAGAGTAGACCAAAGTGACAAATGTTTATACTCTAGCTCCTTAAGTCTTCAAACACTACAAATAATGAGTGAGCAGAACTAAAAAGTTACTGAGCATAAATGGAACCAATACTTAATGTAATATTTATTTTCTACTTAGCCCTGATGTAAAAATTAAAATTATATTAAATGTACTGATGGTAGTCAAAATTTAGTGATTATAAATTTTACTTTGCCTTAGTATAGGGTTTTTTAATGTTTCTTATATTTTATCTCATTTTCATACCAAGAAACTAAAGACAGTCATACACATTTGTGCCATTATTTTTTGATAATGTGGCATAAAAATTACAATTAGATACATCACATACTGTATTCTTGCCTTTTCCTCTTGTTCCACATGAAAAATCTAATCAGTCATCTGTGTAACCAAAACTAGGCCTCATCATTCACCCAAAGAGAGTCTGGGGCACATATCACAAATGGAGTGTAGTTCATCTTTCTTGTTTTATCAGTGTGGTCTCTAAGCCAGCAAGCCCCTTAGGAAGGGATCTAAGTAATTCATTCACTGTGATCTTTTTAATCAAAACTAAAAGACTCAGGCTTAGAGAGAACGGCACAGAATTTTTAACCCACTCTGGCTACACTTTACATTGTTCATATAACCTTTCTACCAACTCAGAATCTATGCCACTCCATCAGAGCTATAAGCTGGAAGACCTCAGATGTAACATAAGAGTTCATGGTAACATGAAGAAAATCTCCAAGTGTGCCATGGTTCCAAAGAGAAGCTTCTATTTAGTTCAAATATTAAAGGAAATTAAACTTGACTTCTTCAGCTACCACATCTATAAAATACACACTTCCAGGCAAGGCATGGTGGTTCATGCCTTTAATCTCAGCACTTTGGGAGGCCAAGATGGGCAGATAACTTGAGGTCAGGAGTTTGAGACCAACCTGGAGAAACCGTCTCTATTAAAAACACAAAAATTAGGCCAGGCTCAATGGCTCATGCCTGTAATCCCAGCACTTTGGGTGGCCAAGGCGGGCAGATCACGAGGTCAAGAGATAGAGACCTTCTTGGCCAACATGATGAAACCCTGTCTCTACTAAAAAATACACAAATTAGCTGGGTGTGGTGGTACACACCTGTAGGCCCAGCTACTCGGGAGCCTGAGGCAGGAGAATTGCTTGAACCTGGGAGGCAGAGGTTGCAGTGAGCTGAGATCACACCACTGCACTCCAGCCTGGCACCTGGCAACAGAGCAAGACTCTGTCTCAAAAAAAAAAAAAAATCCAAAATTAGCCGGGTGTGGTGTCAAGTGCCTGTAATCCCAGCTGCTGGGGAGACTGAGGCAAAAGAATAACATGAACCCAGTAGACAGAGGGTGAAGTTAGCTGATATCACACCACTGCACTCCAACCTGGATGACAGAGTGAGATTTTGTCTCAAAAAAAAAAAAAAAAGAAGAAGAAGAAGAAAAGAAAAAGACACACTTCTGTATTAACTTACCTTTTATGACTTTAGGTCATATTCTTTATTACTGAAATAGGTCCAGAATTACAGAAATGGTCCTAGGGAGGATCTTTATTTCTTCCTAGGAACAGAGTCTAGAACTCATATAGGTGCTTCCAGCTACAGACGGACAGGAACATCTTCAAGGCCTGTTTCAGGGATGAGTAACAGAGAAGCTCACAAGTCTACCACTGTGTACATCTGCTTCCTCATGCTTCAGTTTTTCTCTAATCTATTTTCCACAATCACTTACCTTCTCTTTTCTCTCCTCTCCCACATGGTTCTGAATCAGTTTTTACATCACAGTCATAGCTAGAATTAGGCCTCGTTGCTGGGAGTGCTTGTGACTGACTCTCCCCTAAGTGATTGCTATTTTTTATTTTTACGTTATTTATTTTTTAAGACAGAGTCTTACTCTGTCACCCAGGCTGGAGTGCGGTGACACAATCTCAGCTCATTGCAACCTCCGCCTCCTGGGTTCAAGCTCATCAGGCAGGATTGGGTTAGAGGGAAAAGCCTGTGCTCGAAAGAGGGATTGGGTGCTCCCTAACTAGGAGGGGACACCTGCTCACGGGTCCCACGGCAAAGAGGACCTTCTTCTTATGCCCTGTGACTTCCTGGGGAAGGTGACAGAATTCTAGAGACGCTATGTGGTATATCTGGTGGGCGGGGGGGGGGGGGGAATGACCACAGACAATTTTCATTAGTGACACAGAGATCATACAGTGTGTATTAACCATGTCTTTTAAATCTATATTTTTAATTCTTTGACATCTTGAGGCCTTGCTGACAGGAATCACCTGGAGTTTTAGGAAGAAGTCTGCTGCACAGACGGAGCCCTCATGGAGAACCTATGCCAGGGCAGTACAGAAGGGAAACATGGGGTTGGAGCTCCCGCACAGAGTCTCCACTGGGGCACTGCCTAATGGAGCTGTGAGAAGAGGGCCACCATCCTCCAGACCCCAGAATTGTAGATCTCGAAACAGCTTGCACCATGTGCCTGAAAAAGCTTCAAGCACTCAATGCCAGCCCATGAAGGAGTTGCCCAAGGCTGTGGGAGCCACCCCTTGCTTCAGCATGCCCCAGATGTGAGACATGGAGTCAAGGGGATCATTTTGGAGCTTTAAGATTTAATGACTGCTGGGTTTCAGATTTGCATGGGACCTGCAATCCCTTTGTTTTGGCCAGTTTCTCCCATTTAGAATGGGAGCATTTATCCAATGCCTGTACTTTCATTGCATTATGGAAGTAACTAACTTGCTTTTGATTTTACAGGCTCATTGGCAAAAGGGACTTGCCTTGTGTCAAATGAGATTTTTGACTGTAAATTTGGGCTGATGCTAAAATGAAGTAAGACTTTCAGGGACAGTTGGAAAAGCATGATTCATTTTGAAATGTGAAAAGACATGAGATATTGGAGGGGCCAGGGACGGAATGATACGGTTTGGCTCTGTGTCCCTACCCAAATCCCATCTCACGTGTGATTTCCACATGTCAAGGGAGGGAGGTGATTGGAACATGGGGGCGGTTTCCCTCATGCTTTTCTCATGATAGTGAGTTCTCATGAGATCTGATTTTTTTTTTTAGATGGAGTTTTCCTTTTGTTGCCCAGGCTGGAGTGCAATGGCATGATCCAACCTCCACCTCCTGGGTTCAAGCAATTCTCCTGCCTAAGCCTCCTAAGTAGCTAGGATTATAGTCACCTGCCACCATGTCCAGCCAATTTTTTGTATTTTTAGTCGAGATAGGTTTCACTATGATGGCCAAGCTGGTCTCAAACTCCTGACCTCAGGAGATCCACCCTCCTCAGTCTCCCAAAGTGCTGGTATTACAGGCATGAGCCATTGTGCCCGGCTAATTTGATGGTTTTATAAGTGTTCAGAAGTTCTTCCTTTGTTCTTCTCTCTAGAAGGTGCCTGCTTCTCTATACACCATGATTATAAGTTTCCTGATGCCTCTCCAGCCATCCACAACTGAGTCAATTAAATCTCTTCCTTTATAAATTACCCAGTCTCAGGGAAGTTCTTTATCGCAGTGTGAAAAAAGACTAATACACTGACCCAGCAGAGACTGACTCTCCCAGGGCTAGCCAATTCCTAGAGATAGTAAATGGCTCACCTGCAAGCTTATTTTTCATATGCCAACTGTTCCCCATCATTCTGAAGCAGCTGGATTGCTAAAATGGTGGATGAGTCACAGTTACACCACCAACTAGGTGACAATACTTTACAGAGTTGGAGCAAAGTTCTCCAGAAGGCTGTGTATGCTCTGTATCGGTGTCCCATGTATGGTACTTTCTCCCATAGCCAAGATTCATGGATCCAGGAATCAAGGGGTCGAAGGGGAAGTGGTACCACTCACTATCAACCCTAGTGACTCACTAGCAAAATTTTTTCTTCCATTCCCGTGACATTACATTCTGCTGGCCTAGAAGTCTTAATTCCTAGAGGGAGGAATGCTGCCACCAGGAGACACAACAATTTCATTAAACTGGAAGTTAAGATTGCCATCCGGACACTTTGAGCTCCTCCTATCTCTATGTCAGCAGGCTAAAAAGGGAGTTACAGTGTTGGGTGGAGTGATTAACCAGGACTATCAAGATGAAATCAGTCTACTATTCCGCAGTGGAAGTAAGGAAAAGTATGTGTGGAATACAGGACATCCCTAAGAGCATTTCTTAGTATTACCATGCCCTGTGATTAAGGTCAATAAGAAGCTACAACAGCTCAATCCAGGAGGACTACAAATGGCCCAGACTTTTCAGGAATGAAGGTCTGGGTCACTTCACCAGGTAAAAAACCATGACCTGCTGAGGTGCTTGCGGGGGGCAAAGGGAAGACAGAATGGGTAGTAGAATAGGGTAGTCATCAATACCAGCTATGACCATATGACCAGTTGCAGAAACAAGGACTGTAATTGTCATGACTATTTCCTCCTTATTTTGTTAAGAAGATGTTTATGTATGTATACACTTGTACTAAGAAAACATCTTAATTTTCTTTTCCCTTTATCATGTGACATAGATTTATTGACTTCATAACATCATTTAAGTATTGTTAACTTTATGTAGTAGCATTTGGGTTGAGGATTGGTGTGTTTCCAGTTGTACAAAGCATAGCTATCTTATGTTAGGCATAATTATGATCCCATTATTATCTTTAGTTGAATATTATGTGTTATTTCAGGAGATATGTATGAGATATGTATGGGTTCAAGTTTGGCAAGGGGTGGACTTGTGATGGTTAATACTAAGTGTCAACTTAATTGGATTGAAGATGCAAAGTATTTTTCCTGGGTGTGTCTGTGAGGGTGTTGCCAAGGGAGATTAGCATTTGAGCTAGTGGACTAGGAGAGGCAGATCCACCCTCAATCTGGGTGGGCACCATCTAATCGGCTGCCAGCATCTAGGAGAAAATCAGGCAGAGGAACGTGTAAGGACTAGACTAGTTAAGTCTTCTGGCCTCCATCTTTCTCCTGTGCTGGATGCTTCCTGCCCTCAAACATCAGTCTCCAAGTTCTTCAGCTTTTGGACTCTTGGACTTACATCAGTGATTTGCCAGGGACTCTCAGGATTTCAGCCACAGATGAAAGCTACACTATTGGCTTCCCTACTTTCAAGGTTTTGGTACTCAAACTGGCTTCCTGCTCCTCAGCTTGCAGACGGCCTATTGTGCAACTTCGCCTTGTGCTTGTGTAAATCAATTCTCCTAATAAACTCCCCTTCATATATACATCTGTCCTATTAGTTCTGTCCCTTTAGAAAACCCTGACTAATACACCAACCATCCAATCCGGAGTCTATACCTCTAACCACCTTCTTTATGGAATCTTATTCTCCGGCTCATTATTCCCCTTTCTAATCACCCCAAGGCCAGGTACAAGACAACTAGGAGCAAACTTTGTGCTCCAGAGCCCTGAAATTGTTCAAACTAGAAAATTATTGGTCAGGCACGGTGGTTCACACCTGTAATTCTAGCACTTTGAGAGGCCGAGGCAGATGGACCACGAGGTCAAGAGATCGAGACCATCCTGGCCAACATGGTGAAAACCTGTCTCTACTAAAAATACAAAAATTAGCCAGGCATGATTGTGGGTGCCTGTAATTCCAGCTACTTGGGAGGCTGAGGCAAGGGAATCGTTTGAACCTGGGAGGCAGAGGTTGCAGTGGGCCAAGATCATACCATTGCACTCCAGCCTGGGTGACAGAGCCAGACTCCATCTAAAAAAAAGAAAGAAAATTCTTGACCTGCTTGCTCTCCCTTGCTTGTTCCTTCCCACAGAAATAACAATAAACAATAAATGCTCTTGCCCCTGTTCTGTCCTCACTTCCTCTGTTTCCTGACCAGCCCTTCTGCTTCCCAGTGTGGCCCTGTGAGGGGTGCCATGCCTTCTGCTTCTAGGAGAAGCAAAATCTGGCATAATTGGAGACTTCAATATCCCATTTTTTATAATGGATAGAACAATTTGGCAGAAGATTAACAGAAAATCAAAGACTTGAGCAATATTATAAGCCAACTAGACTTAGACATTGAAAGGATATTCCACCCAGCTACAGAAGGGTACAAATTCTTTCCAAGTGCAAATGTAGGATTCTCCAAGATAGACTATGTGTTAGGTCATAAAACAAGCCTCAATAAATGTAAAAGGATTGAAACCATACATAGAAATATTCAATCATACATAGAAATGACAATAGAGTTTTATCCAAAATCAGTAATAGATGGAAACCTGAGAAATTCACAAATGTTTGAAAATTAAATGCCTCCTTTGCTTTGAGACAGGTTCTCACTCTGTTACCCAGGCTAAGTGCTATGGCATGATCATGGCTCACTGCAACCTCCAACTCCCAGACTCAAGTGATCCTCTAACCTCAGCCTCCTAAATAGCTGGGACTACAGATGTGTGTCACCACATCCAGCTAATTTTTTTGTAGAGATGGCGTCTTGCTGTGTTGCCCAGGCTGATCTTGAACTATTGGATTCTAGTGATCCTCTTGCCTTGGCCTCCCAAAGTGCTAGGATTACAAGTGTAAGTCACTACCATCGACCTAAAAATACATTTCTAAACAATCAATGGATCAAAGAAGAAATCACATGGGAAATTTATTTTCACGTGGAAGAAATTAAATTTTTCATTCAATTCAAAAATTATTTGAATGAAAATTAACCACAACAATCACAACTTATGGCATGCAGTTAAGACAGTGCATAAAGGGAAATTTATAGCTATAAACATGTATATTTAAAACAAAAGAAAGATCTCTAGTCAACAACTTTAACATTCACCTTAAGAAAATAGAAAAATAGAGGCCAGGCATGGTGACTCATGCCTGTAATCCCAGCACTTTGGGAGGCCGAGGCAGGTGGATCACCTGAGGTCAGGAGTTCAAGACCAGCCAGGTCAACATGGTAAAACTCTGTCTCTACTAAAAATACAAACATTAGCCAGCCGTGGTGGTGGGCTCCTGTAATTCCAGCTACTCAGGAGGCTGAAGCAGGAGAATTGCTTTAACCCAGGAGGCAGAGGTTGCAGTGAGCTGAGTGCGCCACTGCACTCCAGTCAGGGTGACAGAGTGAGACTCTGTCTCAAAAAAAAAGAAGAAAAGAAAAAAAAAAAGATCAACAAAATTGGCCAATCTTTAGCAAGACTGACTGAGATTTTTAAAAGGGAGACAAAGAAAGAGAGACAGAGAGAAACAGAGAGAGAGAAGACTCAAAGTGCTAAAATCAGAAGTGAAATACAGGGTATCACTACTATTCTTATAGAAATAAGAAAGGATTTTAAAGAAATACTAATGAAGAAGTGTATACCAAAGGAACCACAGGGTGGGTGACAATAGACGACCCCATGGGAACCAGCATGAACAGATAATTACTGACAAGAGGGCTCCTCTTCTTAGCCACACACACTTAGACACACCTTGACACAGTAACTTAGGTGGAATTACCTGCTGGATAGGGCTGGTGCTTAGAGTCTATATTAGGCTGAGTAACAGAAAATAAAGAATTACAGTATTCCTCCTACATTTGAGACTTATACCTACTTCATTATTTTAACATGTAAAAATATAGGAAATCTCAGATAATAAAATTGAGATCACTCAGTGATAACATCTGGAGAGATAGCCATTGTACTATTATAAATATCTACTTCTCTCCCTACTTACACATTGTATGTAGAAATATCAGATGTCATTTTTTTTTCCAGCATTCGGCTTAATTTTTATTCTAACTCTCAGTCTACGGGTAGCAAAAACAAATCTCAGCCAATTCATGGTTTCCCCCAGAGCCTGGGCTTACCTCTAAAAGTTCCAAGGAGCTTGCATGGCTTTACAGTCCTTCCTTCCCAGTTCTCAGCTTCTGATCTATGCAGGAATCCTGACCACATGGTCTCTCCAGGTCTGATTCTCTCTCAGGAACCTTGGACAGTTGACCATGTTGCTCTGGAGTTATGGAAAACTCTTGTAGTTTACATTCTTTCACCACAACTGTGCTGTACTTGGAGATGGGGAAATTATGCTCTCTGCTGGCTGCTGGACCATCAGGAATGTGGCCTGGATTTCCCATCCAGATGTTTCTTCTGCTCCTGCATTTAGTGGGCATGGGTAAAGTCTGAGACCTTTCAGTTCGTCCAGCTTTGGCTCTGACTTGGGGACACAGGTCCCTTATGATGTCAGATCTCCAACCCAGTCTAGAAGCATTATCATAATTGTTTTATTGTATGAAAGAAGTATAATTTATTTAAGCATTCTCTTGTATATTTAGATTCATTAATCCTTTATGGTCATATATTGTGTGATCTTCAATATCTTTGTAATGAAAGGTTTACCCACATCCATTTTTAAGAGAAATTCCTAGAAGGGCAATTTATATGTCAAAGAATATGGATATTTTAGGCTTTTATATATTTTGCCAAATCACCCTCCAAAAATGTAACAAATTGCCTCTCAGCAGCAGTTAATAAGAGGATAAGAATTCTTACATCCCCACACCATAGATTTCTCAATAAATTAGTTACACAAGGCATAGCTTTGCTATATATTTACACACAATGTCTGCATGCTGTTCATGACTCCATAATAAAAAATATTCTTTGATAATTTATAATCAGTGGAGAACCACTCATATAGCTAAGGGTTGACATAATTCTTTTAAAGTTAAAACATGAGGTTATTCTTGAAATATGCGACTAAGAGATCACTTCTTGGCAGGGCTTCAACAAATTAATTAACAACTTTCTTTTTTTACTATTCATTGAGTACAGAATTTTTTTAAGTCTGTAATAACTATAATTGTTAACTATGGTGTGCAGAATGGCTCCCCCAAAGAAGTTTACCCTCAGATTCCTACATCTTGTGAGCATGCTGTATTAAATGACCGTAGACACTTTGTGGACAAAATTAAGACTAGGAACCTTAAAAGAGGGTGGGCGCTATTCTGAATTGTCCAGGTAAGGGGAGATCAGAGAGATCTGAGAAAGAATGGTTAATGCCCTGTTGTTGGCTCTTGTATGTAGATGCCCACAGTGAGCCTTCAGTGAGACCCCCAAGAACTCAGTGAAGCCCCCAGCTGGCAGCCAGAAAGAATATGAGGACTTCAGTCCTATAACCACAAGGAACTGGATTTTGCCAACAGCTTGAATGGCTTCCAAGTGGATTCTTTCCAGAGCCTCCAAATAAGAGACCAGCCAGCTGATGCCTTAATTTCCACCTGTACCTTTTTCTGACCTATGTAACTGAGGCAATACATGTGTGTAGTTTAGGCTGCCAAATTTGTAGTATTAGTTATCACAGTGGTAGGAAATTATTATATATACAGAATAGGTAAGTGATAAATGGTATATTAAGTAAATGCATGAGCAAATGAGTTAAAGGTGATTTCAGAGTGGAAATTATTATATCCTTTCCAAAAGAGTAGTGGAATCACAAGTTCATTTAATCCTGAAGGTCCTTTGAATATATTGTTTCATTTTGCAGATTCATGTCAGTTGTGTTCCATCTACAGCTTCTGAAGGAGATGATTACATGAGGTAGCCGCCATCTCTCCTGTTGTAAGAATATTTATTATAGGCTTTAGTGTGCAGTGACTATTTTGTGCTTGTGATTTCCCATGACTATCATTTAAAAAATGTGAACACTTTATATCCGACACACAAACTATTACTGTTCTTAACCAGTGAATTCAGAAATAAGCACCTACATATGTTAATTTTTTCCAACAGATATTTACTAAATTCCTGCTTTATATAAATACACTGCTCTGAGT